TCCCAAACTTCGCTAAGCGAAAATCGCCCATAGGAAACATCGTTATACGGTGCATATTATTTTCTAAAAAAACCACATCGTTATGCGAATTCATCGCTAAACGAGGCAATCGTTAAGCGAGGCACCACTGTATATGGTCTTTATTGCAGACTGTATGTCTGCAATCTAAGGAGTAACTGCAAACACAGTTATGGTATGAAATGTGTTTTTAGTTGGTGGATGTGCTGACACATACAGAATCACATATTTCTGAGATATTCAAGGTATATTTGAATCAATCATAACAACAAGCTGAAAGTTGCATTTTCTAGTATAATTATCGAATCTTTTTTTTAAATAACTGAATCTCATCCCTCTGACAGTGATATTGGAAGAATACCTTTGAATACTGAAGCTGACAAATCATTGAGAGTGCTGGCACCATGTTATGTTGGGGAAATGCCTCTTTTGGACAGCTTGGTTTGGGAGGCATTGATGAAGAAGTTGTTCTGGAACCCAGAAGATGCAACTTTTTCCTAAACAAAAAAATTCGGGATGTGGGCTGCGGACTAAGGCACACTGTATTTGTTCTGGATGATGGGACTGTATATACGTGTGGGTGCAACGACTTAGGACAGTTAGGACATGAAAAATCCAGGAAAAGACCAGGTAAGATTAAAAAACAGTGCCTAGTAGATACAGTACTGTATCATTCTCTGCGTGGATAACAGCTTTGCATGCTTGAATGCATATAGCCCATCAGATACATCAGAGTAATTTATTTATTTATTTTATTATTTATTTATTTATTTATTTATATCCCACCTATCTGGTCAGTTTTATATCCCGCCTATCTGGTCAGTTAATTCAAAATAGCTTTATTTTATTTATATGTTTTTTTTCTGAAACTTTCTTTTGAAAAAAAGTATGCTTAGGATTTCAGTGTTTACAAAATAGTGTATTTGCAAATTCTTATCTGGGGTCTGTCTGTTCTGCAACTTTAATAATTTCACATGAATCTTTTGTTAAGTAGGCCATGTTCTGGACATTTTTCTGAAAATTGATTTGAACCATAAGTTGTGAGCTGTGTTATCAACACATTTAATACATATGAAACTCCGATACAAAGGATTCCTAATTTTTTAAAAACTGATGCTTTCTCTTCAAAACACACATGTATAGTAGTCTATCAGCTGCAGTGAGTTTAAGGGGGAAATTGATATATATTAATGCATATTGACACTCGTAACTGAATTGATAGTATGGTCATTTTCTGTTGTCTTAACGATTCATAAGTACAAAATACATGTTATTTTCGGACATGCTGGAATATGCAAAATGACAGAAGCAGAGTAAGAAAAAAAATCTGTTATAGGGCTACTCTGTAAAAAAACATGGTAACATGAATTTATTGATCGTATTTCCTTAAATAAGAATGGTTCATATCAGTTTATTAGAATACCAAAGTGTTTTTAAAACTAGTGGACATTCAAGAAGATAAGCAGCCCTGTTTCCTTCCGGCATCTATTAGTTCAGTTTGTGAATGAAACCCTCTTAGATAAAATTAGTCTAGAGTTGCAAATAAGCTGCTCTATTTTATAATACCTTGGAATTATTATTTTATAATATTTCAGATCATGGCTTTCTTTTTAAAACTATTTGCTTCCTGGATAATATTGTATATACTGTCCAGAACATAAATATAGGTTTGTTTTTGGTATCTGTGAGACCATATGTTAATGAGAATGATTTTGTTTTATTTGCTCTCATCAGAAATCTACCCATGTCACTTGTGCGAGCCAAGAGGTGAGGCTGAGGAGCCTAACACCGAGGGAGGCCCAGAAGGAAAAGACAAGAATTTGGGCCTTCTTGGCGGTGGCTCCTCGCCTCTGGAACAACCTACCTCCTGAGATTTGCATGGCTCCCTCGCTGGGTATTTTTAAGAATCAATTAAAAACTTGGATGTTTTGGCAGGCCTTCCCATCAGATAATTCCTGACGCCCTTTTCTTCCCTCTCCTATTGCTTCTTCCATCTTGTTCAATGCTCTAGTTATGTAAAAATTGTTTTTATATATGTTTATTATATTATTTTGTGTTGTTAGCCGTCTAGAGTGGTCCTGATCCGACCAGAAAGGGGGGGTATAGATAGATAGATAGAAAGAAAGAAAGAAAGAAAGAAAGAAAGAAAGAAAGAAAGAAAGAAAGAAAGAAAGAAAGAAAGAAAGAAAGAAATAGCAGGCTTTCAGTACACATATATGCTTGAGCCCAAGTATTTTCTGTTTAAGCTCAGGCAGATGTAGCAGTTATATTGCAGTGAAGATATCAGAAATAATATAAAGAGAGGTATCTAGAAGTAGGTTTATTGCCAACACCTTGGCTGCCAGCTAAGTGTCATAGGATACAAATAGGTATGCATCAGGAGATTTGTGGTTAGGAACTCCCATTCTTGTTTTAACTAATGGCAGCTGTGGGAGTCCTCATATCTAATTGGGAAAATTGTACTGGGGATCAAGTTAATTCATGCCCTGTGGCTGTTTCACACAAGAATGAAAATGTACAGCTATTTTAAATTTGATCCATAGTTAGAGGGACAAATAAACAGTCTCTGTTAGATACAGATCAGTAACAAACTGGTTCCTTGGATTCTAACTTGCAGTATTTGTCTCTGATTTAACACAAAGGAGACTTGACATGCTGGTGAGTACAGTACATTGTTTCTGCTGTGTATGGTGTTTTGAAAATGTTTTAGCAGATGAAGTATCAAATACTACTACTTTTTTCATTTGATTACAGAACAGGTGGGTGCCCTGGATGCTCAAAATATTGTAGCCGTTTCATGCGGAGAAGCCCACACGTTAGCATTAAATGACAAGGGTCAAGTCTATGCATGGGGGTTTGCTGCAGATGGACAGCTTGGCTTACCTGGAACTGAAGAATATACCAGAGTGCCCAGGTATAACTAAATTTAAAAATCTCATCTTTTAAAAAATATTCATTAAAAAAATGTGTCACCTGAGCTGCACACATTTGAAATGCCAGGTCTGATTCCTACAAAATACTATACACTTGCATATCCTTGTAACTTGCTGTAATCTATTATAGCGACTAGGGTTGAGCTCAGACATCCTCATTCAGCCTTCACTTATCACTCAAGACAATTCTCTATCTCTGTCTTAGCCCTAAACTACGGGGAATGTATCTTATAGAACTGATGTAACAGTTACATAGTTAAAGTATATTATATATTGTGAATATTTGTGAAGTACAGTGGTACCTTGGTTTAGGAACGCGTCAGTTAACGTGATTTTCGGTTTACGAATGAAAATCCATTTAAAATAGTGCCTTAGTTTATGATTTTATTTGCAATATGAATCAAGTTTCCCCAGTTTGCCATGTTTTAAAAGTTGATGTGTGATGTTTTAAAAGTTGAAGTTGGATGTTTGAAAGGTTATTGCTTGATTAATTATGTTCCTGTACAGTATTTATGCCTTTAAAGTGCACTTTATAAAGAGATTTCAACAGATAAAAGACTTTTAAAAAACTTTCTGACCTCCAGAACGGATTAATTGGTTTTCATTGCGTTCCTGTGGGAAACTGCATTTGGGTTTATGAATTTTTTGCAATACAAAACATCCCAAAGAACACATTAAATCCATAAACCGAGGTACCACTGTACTGCAAATTGTATTTGAAATTATATCAATACTAATAACTGGATAACTCAGTGAGATGAAGCATCTGGCTGTGGATCTGGGTCAGTAGTTTAATTCCCAACTATTCTTTGAAGGGAAAAAAGCCATCTTGTATGACCTCTGAGTGCTCTTTGTCTAGAAAAACCTGAAAAGTCTTGTCATAGGTCAGAATTGACTTAACTTACTTTACTTTTATTAGATTTTTACCCCACCCCCCTAGACAAAGTCTACTCGTGTAATTATTAATTAAATATTAAATATTATTGTTGTTTAAAAATAATGTTCTTATAGCCTGAAAATTGCAGTGCTGTTTCAAAATTTCAGTGTAATATTGATGGAAACTTCTTGAATTCATGCACATTTTTAACAGCTCTAATAGAGAAAGAGGTTACATTTGCAATATGATCTGTTCTTGTAAATTTTGGTTGTATAAGTAACGTGTTTTTCATCATGCAACCTTGATACTCATAATTTTCATTGCAGTACCTGAGTCACTGTAGCTCTTGTTTTTAGCTTAAATATTGTGTTTTAATAAAGTAAGCTGCTTTAGGTCCATTCTTAGGAGAAAGGTGGGATAAACAATTTTTTAAAAATAAAATAAAAATGATGATAATGGCTAGAATCATTGGGATGATTCAGATGTATATAAATTAAATTGCACAATTCACTGTTCATGAACTTTGGTTAGCTAACAAGGTTCAGGTCACATTACTTGGTGTGTGCCTGCCTGTTGAGCAATCAAGGGTATCCTTGAAGGTGGTTGGTGCTTCATTAATTAGTGGCAGTTCACAGACCTGAGGCACACAATTTAACATCTGTATGCGTAAATCACCATCAGTATTCTGGTCAATGTGTTTGAATTTATGGGCAGCAGGCTTTTTCCTCAGCAATTCTGTCTGCTTCTATTGTTCAAAGTAATTTAGAAAGTGGATTGAGGATTTAATAATGTGATCTGGTTTACTAAATCCCAGTATCCAGATCAAAAGTGTGCAAATTTCTATATTATAGTCAGTGCCTGCTTTAGTGAGACTTTTCATCACTTTAAACTTGGAGCAACTTCAAAGTGAATTTACAATACAGCACAGAATTGGAGCAGAAGACTCCTGTTTGGGTAATTTATAGATGGAAATCTTATTATTTGTAACAAGTAACTCTTTAAGGATCACATTTTTTTTCCTATTTGGACAAAACATCTTTGATTAGATGTTGTAGAGTAGCTTTTACATTTAAATCAGTTAAAGTATGAACAGTTTCTTTAATCTTCTTGTACTGTAACCACAGTGGACAGTCAAGAAAAATATGGCTTCTTCCTATTTGTACAGCTTGGGAGCGTCACACATTCTGTAAGAGAAGAGTTGAGTGTCCTTTTGAGAAGAAAGGTGGGGTAAAATATTTTAAATAAATAATAAATAAAATAAGCATCCAATGACCAGCATATCTTATTGAAATACTAATTGCTATACTGTTACACAAGTAACATACATACATACATACATACATATTGGAGAACTGTAGTTTCTTATTTTGACTGAACTAGCTATTGTCTTTATGCATGTAAGATACATTTCTGAATTTTTCCTTCAGAAGAACTTTTTGTATGATTTGTAGTATTTTGTGCAGAAATCTTATGAAATCATATCTTATTTTTCCCACAGAAACATCAAAAGCTTGTCTGACATCCAAATAGTGCAGGTTGCCTGTGGTTACTACCATTCACTTGCACTTTCCAAAGGTATTCCATCTCTATTGGCCATTGGTGTTTTCTGTTTAAAATCTGTGTAATTTTAAAATGTTTCTTTGTTAAAGAAACAAACTACAAGACTACATCCTGTAAAACATAGTATCTGAAAGACTTTAGCTTGTACTAAGGGAATGAAAGTTGTACATTAAGAGTATTTTTTGTTTTCTTTTTCTCTTTCATTGTGTTTTTAATCTTTTCTTTTGTATTTTTGTTGACACTTTTTTACTACTTCGACATTACTTCAATCACTTTGCTGTTACCTACGTGATGGATACTCTAGATCACATGTGTCAAACTCAAGGCCTGTGGGCCAAATCCGGCCCGCCAGGCCTTTTATGTGGCTCTTGCAATGTTGCCTGCTACTGTGCACTATACTGTCCACCCATAATGCTCTGCAAGGATGCTGGGAATCTGCCCAGCAGGACTTCTAATCCCAGCATTCCAAGCAGCAAAGAGTCAGAAACTGCAGCCACTTGGGTGGTGTACAGCACCTTGGAAAATGTTGTCCTCGCTGTTGCCCAATCCTGTTCTTACAGCTCCCAACGAGGACTGTTTGATGGTGTTGCCATCTTAACTCAGCCTGCTTTCCGAGTGTTTAGGAAATGAAGCAGTCAGGAAAGTGACAAAAATAGTCTTAAATCCCAGTCTCTACTCAACGACAGGAGAATAATAAAAAGATTATAGGTAATTTTTCCTTATGAATTATAGAGGGCTTAGATTCCACAGTGACACAGGGAGCCACCTTGCAGCCCTCTCACTCTTGGCAAGCCCCCTCTTGTTCTGCTGAGATCACTCTGTGACCCTGGGAGGGAAGCGCACAGGTGAGGGGAATGGGGATGTGTCCCCCTACCAAATTCCCCTAAATTTCTGCTCCCCCCTCCACCAGCATGTGGCACCTAGAAAGACGGGTGGGGGAGCAGCCAGGATAAATTGCCTTCTGCTTTGAAGATAAGCGCAGACAATAGTGGATTTCAGACCTCACTTGGCTTTCGCAGTATAAAGTGTTTTGCCGCTCGGCTTTTGGTAGGGAGAAGAATCACACATGGCCGCACATGTGCACAAACATAACTCGGCAAAGCAAGGAGGGGGCTGAAATCTGCAGCTGGCCTCTGGCAGAAGCTGGACCCTGTAGGTGGGTGGCAACATTAAACACGGAGGCCCTTTCTCCTCCCCACGGCTGCTGGCCCTTCTTTGAGGGTGTTCAGTGCAGAAAAACAAGAAAAACCTTTCTCTCCCTCCATGGAGAACCAGTAATAATCGAATGAGGAGGATTATATTTAATATGATAAAGAGCAGGTACATTTATATAGTCTTACAGATACAACCGCAAGAGCAATCATAATGCCGATGAGGCCCAAGATGAAATTGAGTTTGACACCTCTGCTCTAGATTGTAGCCTAATATACTTCTTCTCTCAATGGAACTGGGAGGGGGCAATCCCTTCTCCCTACTGTATTCCCCTTACGTACTCCAAGAAATGTTGTGGAGGACTAGGAAACCTTCCAAAACTTGTTTCTGAAGAATAGGGCTAAAATGGGAAAAGGAAGAAAATTCTTCCTCCACTGAGTAGTGTGGGCAGCATATAAATTGAATAAATGAATAAATAAATAAATAAAATAAAATGTGACATTGGAGATAAGCCTTAAAATGTAAATTCATGTTCTGAAAAATATTCCAAATAGTACAGTGGTGCCTGGCTTAACAGGTGCCCCATTTAACGACGAAATCGCATAGTGATGAAGATTTTGCGATCGCATTGCGATGTTCCCTATAGGGAAAATTCGCTTTGCGATGATCGGTACCCTGTTTCGCTTACCGATCATCGCAAAGCGATGATTTTTAAACAGCTGATTGGTGGTTCAAAAATGGCTGCCGGGTAAAAAAAATGGCCGCCCGCTGTTTTCTGGGACGGATTCCTCGCTTACCGGGCAGCGAAAATGGCCGCCGTATGGAGGATTTTTGCTTAAAGGCGAGTTTGAAGCCCATAGGAACACATTGAAGGGGGTTCACTGCATTCCTCTGGGCTTTTTAATATCGCATAGCGATGAAATCGCTTTGCAGCGATTTTTGCTGCATGGATTATCATCGCTATGCGAGGCACCACTGTAATTGTGATTAGCTGAGTGATAAGGTTGATGTGAAACTCTTGATATGCATGTACGCCTGTGCAGGAATTATGAGGAAGAAAGGGAAATGATGACCTGCTTGTAGGACTACAAGTTACTTATTTTATTATGGCATTAAATTAATACAGCAGCGTACAGTGTTTTTGTGTTGAATTTTTACAATACTTCATGCCGAAATTTGGTTACCCCATTTGAATTTTGTGGCCCAACCAAATAGACTCATTTGGTTATTAGAATGTAAATATTCTTAAAATTGCTGTTCATCTTAAATGTATACCTTTTGTTTTTCTTTTACAGGAAGTGAAATTTTTTCCTGGGGGCAGAACAAACATGGTCAACTAGGTCTAGGTTATGAATTTAAAAAGCAGACATCTCCACAGTTGATCAAGTCTTTATTAGGGATACCCTTTGGACAGGTTGCAGCAGGCAGAGCACATAGCTTTGTATTGACTCTTTCTGGAGCTGTTTTTGGCTGGGGGCGTAACAAATTTGGTCAACTTGGCCTTAATGATGAAAATGGTAAGCTTTCAGAATTTAACTTTGACAATTTTCCTCTTTAATTTTTATGATAAAAACACTTTGGTTGGGTTTTTTTTAAAACCCCAAACCAAAAATTTTAAATCTCTTTGCTCAATGATGTCCAGATCGTTTATAACCTGAATCACAGAAAATTGCTAAATTAAGCCATTGGTCTAATTTTAGTCAGCTTCATGACTTTGAAATACTATGTACGCTTTCATTGGGTGCAGTAGTGAAGCTTTTATAATAATGAATGACCTGTCATATTTGTTATACTGCATATTTGTTCTGTCCATCTGAAATTGTAAGCGTTGAGGTGGAACAAGATTTGCACATAAAACTAGTTTTTAAGAAAGGAGATTTCAGTGAAACTTTAGGAAGAACTTCCTAATAATGAGAGATCTTTGATGGTGGAATCAACTGCCTTGAAGGGTGGTGGACACTGTCACTGAAGATTTTTAAGCAGAGGTTGGATTGTCACTGGTGCTTTAACTATGGATTTCTTGCACTAGCAATGGGCTAGAGTCATTGACCCTTGGCATTCATTCCAACTCTACAGTTCTGTGATTTTATGAATTTGTGATTTTAATTCTTTATGTAATTTGTTACAAATATATCTACTAAATTATATTTTTCAGATAGATATGTTCCCAATCTTCTAAAGTCACTAAGATCCCAGAAAATTGTTTACATCTGCTGCGGAGAAGATCATACAGCAGCTCTTACAAAGGTACAACACAAGGAAAACTGTGTTTTGCACTCTGATTAGCTTATTGTTGAAACAGACTATGGTTTGTGTTGAAATACCCTGTTTCCCTGAAAATAAGACCTAACCTGAAAATAAACTCTAGTATGATTTTTCAGGATGCTCATAATATAAGCCCTACCCAAAGAATAAGCCCCAGTGAAGTGAAACCCCACCCTCCACCATTGTGCAGTAACCAGAAGATGACATGACTACGTCTGAATAAATGTAGATTGTTGTACAAGAAAAAAATAAAACATCCCCTGAAAATAAGGCCTAATGCGTTTTTTGGAGCAAAAATTAATATAAGACCCTGTCTAATTTGGGGGGAAACACGGTAGGCTATTTTTTAATGCTTTTGGTTTTAGGGTTTGATTGTAGCAGATGGAATAGACTATTGATTATTGCAAGCTTTGTACATTCAGCTTGCTTGCTTTGGTACTTCAGGGTTTAGCCGCCTGTAATATAAGCCCTGCTTCATGGATTGCTGCCTTGTTGTGGCAAAGGGGCTTGAATAATTCAGAGAAGCTATGGGCTATGCCGTGCAGGGACACCTAAGACGGACAGGCTGTAGTGAAGAGTTCTGACTAAAAACGATCCACCTGGAGCAGGAACTGGCAAGCCACTCCAGTATCTTTGCCAAGAAAACCCCATGATCAGAAACAAAAGGCTAAAAGATATGACGCTGGAAGTTGAGCCCCTGAGGTCGCCGTGCAGGGACACCTAAGACGGACAGGCTGTAGTAAAGAGTTCTGACTAAAAACGATCCACCTGGAGCAGGAACTGGCAAGCCACTCCAGTATCTTTGCCAAGAAAACCCCATGATCAGAAACAAAAGGCTAAAAGATATGACGCTGGAAGTTGAGCCCCTGAGGTCGGAAAGCATCCAACATGGTACTGAGGAAGAGTGGAGGACAAGTACAAGTACCACCAGTACTAATGAAGAGGTTGGGCCAAAGCTGAAAGGATGCTCAGTTGCGGATGTGCCTGGAAGTAAAAGGAAAGTCCAATGCTGCAAAGAAAAATACTGCATAGGAACCTAGAATGTAAGATCTATGAACCTTGGTAAGTTGGATGTGGTCAAATAGGTGATGGCAAGAATAAACATTGACATCCTGGGCGTCAGTGAGCTAAAATGGATGGGAATGGGCGAATTCAATTCAGACGATTATCATATCTACTATTGTGGGCAAGAATCATGTAGAAGAAATGGAGTAGCCCTCATAGTCAACAAAAGAGTGGGAAAAGCTGTACTGGGATACAATCTCAAAAATGATAGAATGATGTCAATAC